GAAATGGGTTCGTTTACGCCTTTAGTGTTTGGAACCAATGGCGGAATGGGAAACGAGTGTCAGCGGTTCTTAAAGCATCTCGCAGACAAGATAGCTCAGAAAGACACCGAGCCTTATCATGTTGTAATCACTTGGCTCAGGACACAGATCTCGTTTGAACTCTTAAGATCGGTACATGCATGCGTCAGAGGTTCGCGAACGCCGTTTCGTAGCAAGCTAGAGCAATCATTAGACTGTAAAATAAATGTCGCTAGTGCGGATATCTGAAATACGTGTCTATATGCTTTTATACTTAGGGCTTTTTATGAACACTGGTTTAGCCGTCATTAGTATAATTCGATTGCAGGATCTTAATATCTCTGCATAATGGAATTCTTAATTTTATAGAATTTTGAACTTTTATTATTAATTATATCTATCTCCTCTTTTATGTAAGGTTAAGTTACTTCTATTTTTTAGAATTTGAAAATGAATAGTTTTTTCTATCTTCACTCATAATATATAGGATTGTTTTTGTTCTCTAATACACCGAATGCAAATATGGCGGATCTCTCGGTCGGCCCGGGTCTAGTTGCGCGAAAGCGAGGCTAGTGAGGCCTCGATAGTTTTGTTTTGACTGCGCGTCTTAGCGATTCAGTCGATGAATATGGCTTCCTTCGAGTTGTTACGTGCTTAAGAGCCATCAGATAGGAGATTTAACTCCAGCAGAGACGAAAGTTGATTATCTTCGCTTTGCCAAAGTTCTTTACGAAGAAAGAAATGGATTCAAGCGATTCGGCGCGGCGAATGGAGGCGCTCTACTATCACGGAGTTATTTTTTAAAAGAACGAAAGTGTGCTCGCTTCACTTCAGAAGAGAAGACTCACGAATAATGAATAAATAACTGAAATGATGAATGAAAAACTGAAAGATTCATAGCTCTGTTTCAAGTTTGCTTTGTCCGTTTTCTTACCAAGGAAAGGTAAATATCCTCGAGAACGAGTGAATCCGCCGTCGCGACTTACCAATCTGTAGGCGCTCTCAGGGACACCATGACAAACAACAAGGGCGAATATTTTTTTCACAGTCTTCACGATCCTGTGTTCAAGAGTTTGAGCACTGCCATAAAAGAAGCAATCTTTGGAAAATCGTTGTTAGTTTATCTCGAAACCATTCGACAAGTTGCTAAAATAGATCACGCGCAAGGTCAAATACAATGTTCGAATACTTGCACGCTCTTTTTCTCCAGAACCGTTTTTCTTCTTCTTGCTTTCTTAGTTGGCAACGGTTCCTCCGTTAGTTTTTTCAGTGCATTTTGGTCAAGGACTGTTCTTTAAATATGTCGCTTTCTTCTGGTTCTTACATAGTTTCACAGGTCACGCTTGTAGGATTAACAGGCGATTGTTATTGTTGTTGTTATATTTTAATGCAGCTGTCTTCAGCTTGAAATCTAAAAGATCTTACCGTCCACCGCGGATGCTCCCGTTCTCGAGAATGTTTACCTTTTGTTGGATAAATAACAGACCATGCAAACATCTTGAAACAAGCACCATCTCTTGTGAAAATTATTTCATTCAAATACTTTCGTGAGTCTTCTCATCTAAAGCAAGTGAGCGATAACAGTTTCGCTGTAAAGTGCTTCCCATTGCCGCGCCGAATCGCATGAATCCTTAAGTTTCTTTGTGAAAAGATCTCGGGAAAGTAAAGGCTATTCAAGCTAGAGTAAAATCTTCTTTTTAGTGGCCCTCAGGCATGCAACAACTCGATGCAAACCATATCGATCGACTCAATCGCTAAGACGCGCAGTCAAAACAAAACTCTCGAGGCCTAACTAGCCTCGCTTTCGCACAACTAGACCCAGGCCGGCCGAGAGGTCCGCCATATTTGCATTCGGACGAGGGGTTTCTTTTGTAACAGATGTAATTGTAGATAGTGTTTTTGATGAATTACTTAGATTTTTTGTAACAGCAGGTTGATTGTAAATAGGATTTTAATTGAGGTTTTGTAATAAAGATTCTTTTCTCTTTAAAGTTCTAAAAAAAAAAGTTTGTGCCCTTCCTTTTTTTCTGAGCTTGCAAGTGTAACGCACCTGAAAAGAAACCCTTATGCACTACAAGTCATATTGTCAAAATGACTAGTTCGAAATTACTCCTTATCTTAACTGATAACTACAACACTTATTGAAAAATGTATCGCTCCCGAACATGTGTTGATTGGTTCTTGACCTTTACAGTTGGAAAAAAAAACAAACTACGATTTACAGTGATTATAGTTATGTAATTAATTAGTAAATCAAAAAGAATGAAATTAAAGTGAAAAAACAAAACAGCTGTTTCAACTGTTTTAGAGGTTTGAAGGTCTGAAGGGATCACTAGAGCTGTAATATGACACTCAATAAGAGGTCTAGTTACTTTAGAACACGTTAGAAGTTTCCTGCAGCAAAACACATATTTTGGCTTGGTAATTACTTGTATTTCTTGATGTAAATTACATTCTATGAATTAAGTGTCAGTTAGGGTCATTCATAATGCTGTACTGCACCTTATTTTATCTGACGATTATCTAAGGTATAAAAAATGAATTTTGTGTATTTTTAAAGACTTCAATATATGCATACTTTTGAATTTATAAACAATATATAATTATTTAAATCCTACACTGTAAGTCTGGTTGTCAGTGTAGCCTGTGTCGCAGACATAATCTATTGCTGGTTAGTAACATCTGCAAAGCCGTGCCAATATTCTGGGCTGCCAATCACAATGTTTTTCGATATTCCCTTCAACCTGATTGGCACACTGATAATGATATTTTTAAGAGGCCAATCATAGCACATATGCAAGTGCTAGTTCACAGGTGGGCCACGAGGTGCCCAGAAGCAGGATTTCAGTGCTGTCTCACAGGGGGACTTAACCAGAAGTTTAGTTCTGTATGTGGCACAGGCTAGTCCTCCGGGTATTAATGTTTAAATTATGTATTTTATGTTGCTTAGCTGGGAAGACAAAAATAGATGACAGAAGAGCACAAACAAGAGAATATCAAGAAGTATTAAAAAGTGTATCTACCACACAACTCATAAAGAGAGGTGAAAGTCCATGAGGACAGAAATGTTGTTACAGAGCCATAAAACATTAATGTTAAGTACAACTCACTGTCAAATAAGTTAAAAGGAAGGAAGAATGCTGACAT